GGGCGGGCCGGGTGGGCCGTAACTCATGGCTCTGCCGCCGGGCGCGGCTGGCGCGGCCCGCGAGTGGGCCCGCTGGGGGGGTCACAGGGCAGGAGGAGGCATTCCCCCGGCGTGCCAATAACGAGCGGCGTCGCTGCTGCGCGCGTCCGCGGCGTCAGCGCCGTCAGCGGCGGCAGCCTTATTCAACCTAAATACACGCAATGAGACCCGGGTCACAGTGACGAGTCGGCTCGGCTGGAATGCACCGCCGCGGCAGCATGGCGCCAGGGGGCTGCCGCCACCGTGCCGCCGGCGTGCTCGCGCCAGATGACTCTCGCCCGGGCCGGAACCACCACTGCTCGCCGGGCGTCCCCAGCCAGCCCCAGCACGACAGGCGCGTCTCCCCCTCACAGAGTGTGTAGAGTGGAGTGGCACCACCACCACCACCACCACCACCACCATCCACTAGATGCATGTCGCCACGCTCGGATCGCCGCCGCATCAACGCCGCGCCGCAGCGCAGGTGGCGCCGCCGGCGCCGCGCCATCGCTGCAGCCGCAGCTCCATTGGCAGAGTCAGGAAGTGTGACGTCCTTGACTTGTTCATCGTGTGATTGTGCGCCGTGTGGCTGGCCGTGCGCTCGCATGACACTCTCTGCTGGCCGCTTCTCTCTGCATGGCACTCGGCACTCTCCATGGCACTCGCCGCACTCGCCATGACGTGACGAGGCGCGCCGCCGTCCAACACGGCCGCCGAGGCCAGGCAGCCCGTCCGTCCGCCCGTCCGTCCGTCCGTCTGTCTGTCAATCTCGTCGTCCCTATTCGTCCTGGTGCACACGGCTCGCGCATCGCAAATGCACTCAAGGTGTGAGGTACGGTCGGGATATGAGTTTATGCTTTGGGGCAGAACACACACGGAGTGACTGTGTGTGACGGTGCCCACAGAGAGTGACTGGGCGTGTGAGTGTGTTGTGTAAGTGACAAGTGTGCCCAGTGCATGCGCGGGTGTGACGGTGCCCCCAGTGAGTGACTGTGTGACAGTGCCCACAAGGAGTGCCTGTTTGTGGCAGTGCCGCAGAGTGTGTCGACTGACACGGGCGGCGGCCCCTGCCCTGCGGCGCCTGCGGTCGGTGGGTCGGTCTGACAGTGAGCGTGGCAGCAGTTAGTGGCAGTGTGAGGATGGAATGGAATAAAATGAAATGGACTCGTTAATTCCCCTCCCCTTTCCCCCCTCGTAATTCACACGAGACTCTGGCTGCAAAACGACCGCCGGCGCTATCCACCACCACCACCACCTCCACCCAGCCACCCCACCCGCCCCGCGTAAGGCGTGGCGGTGCAAGCAGGGGACCTTTGCGGGGCGGGGCGGGGTGGCGGTAGACCGAGTGGCCTGTTCGCACTTCAAGTGACGCTCCGCAGATGCGAGCTGCTGCGGTGGGCGGGGTTGACGGGGACAGCAGCCGTGCCACCGCGCCTTGCCGCCTGTCGCCTGCCCACCAGCCCTTGCCCCCTGGTTCAGCCCCCCCCTCTTCCTATATAGGTTGACCAGGCCGGCCACGCGAACGCCTTGTCACAAATCCCATCTCCCTTCGAGGCTGAACCACACAAAGTTGCAAAGAGCAGACTCTCCGAGCTGTTCGTTCGGCTCGAGCGAGACTGGCTCGCGAGTAAAACCCTTCACCTGCTGCTCCCTGCTGCTGCCTGAGCGGATCACACTTCGCGCGTCGCGTTCACCTCGGGTCACCCGGCTTTCCCGCACCCCGCGCCCCGCCGGAGTATAACTCACGGGCTGAACCCGACCCGACGCAGAGGAGAGGTGCAACGCCTGCACGGGCTGTTCGGTCCTGGAACGACCGCCTGGCGGGGTGCGGTTGGGTGGGGTCGGGTGGGGCAAGGCGTGGCGATGCCAACCTGCCCTGCCTGCCTGCAGTGCGGCCTGCTGGCTCCTGTCGCGCGTCTCCTGCAGCACCACGCCCACCACCACGACCAACCACCACCA